GTGAGGCTCCTGCCTCCACTTCCCAAGTAGCTGGGACCACAGGTGCCTGCTACAACGCCCAGCTATTTTTTGGTTGCAGCTGTCACTGTTGTTTGGCGGGCCCAAGCTGGATTTGAACCCACCACCTTAGATGTATGTGGCTGGTGCCTTAGCCACTTGAGCCACAGTCCCCAAGTCTTGGCTATTTTTTTGTTGCAGTTTGGCTTGGGCCGGGTTTGAGCCCGCCACCCTCGGTATATGGGGCCAGTGCCCTACTTACTGAGCCACAGGTGCTGCCCTGTTATTGTTGTTTTTAGCTGGTCTGGGCCAAGTTGGAACCCGCTAACCTTGGTGTATGTGGCCGGTGCCCTACTCATTGAGCTATGGGCACTGAGGCATACTGTTTCTTTCTAATGAATTGACCATTACATTTTCAAAGTTCTGAAATGGCCAACAGACCATAGAAAGATAATTCTTTAGGCTCCTGCTTGAAACCAACAGCTTCAGCAAACTGCTGGCCTTGATTCAGGGCCAACTAAGAGCCTATATTTTAGTGAAACAGTTCTAGACAGAATTGCAATTCTGTCACTGTGATGGCTAATTTTACATGTCAATTTGAGTGGGCTAGGGCGCCAGATTAAACATTGTTTCTGGCTGTGTTTGTGAGAATGCCTCTGGACCAGGTTAGAATGTGAATAGGCAGAGTCAGTGAAGTAGACTGGCCTCCCCAAAGTGGTTGGGATCATCCAGTATGCTGAATATCTGAATAGAAAAAAAGGCAAAGAAACAAAAAATTTGCCCTCTTTCCAATTTTTTCCTCGTCATTGCTTATACTGTGACATCTCATCTCATCTTCTTCTGCCCTTGAACTAGGATTTATAGCATCACTTCCCCTGGTTCTCAGGCCTTAGGATTCAGGCTTAACTTCACCTTCACTACACCACCAGCTTTCCTGGGTCTCCAGCTTGCAGACAGCAGATCACTGAATTTTATAATCTCCACAGTCACATGAACTAATCCTGCCTTT